TCCGGCCCGGGGTCCGGGCCTCCCTCTCAGGGCCGCTGTCGGTGGGGCAGGAGGCCGGAGCGCCGAGGGGTCGCGGGCGTCCCCCCGACCTCCCGGCAGTGGCCGCGCGCCCCAGCCTCTCTCGGCCTCCGCTGCGGAGCGCGCGTCCGCCCGCACCGCGTCTCCACCGGCCTCCTCGCTCCACCTAGCGGCGGCTGGAGCCCGGAGCCGCGCGGGGCCCAGAGAGGGCACGGGGCCTCCAGGGGCGCACAGCAGGGTTCGGGCCCAGAGAGGGAGCAGGGCCCCCCCCCCCGCCCCCCCACCCCTGGGGCGCACAGCGGGGGTCGGGCCCAGAAAGGGCACGGGGCCGCCGGGGCACACAGCGGGGCTCAGGACCGGAGGAGGAGGCACAGGGTCACCAGGCGCACAGCGGGGTCGGGGCCTCAGCAGGGCTGCGGGGCCGCACGTGGGGAGCCGAGGGGGCACCACCATGACAGGTGGGGCCTCATCCCTGCCTCTGCTCATCTTGGTCTGGCAAAGAGTCACAGTCTCTCGTTACAAGGTTGGGAAACTGAGTCACGGAGGGGACCCGCCCCTCCCCCCCCCCGGGGATCACACAGAAAGTCAGACGAGTTCTAACCAATCTCCGGGGTCCTGGGACCCCATTTATGCCCTTCTTCCTCCCCCGACGGAAAGAGAGGGGGCCCAGGGTGCAGGCGAAGGGGGAGGCCGGGGTGCGTGTGGCCAGGTGGTGGGGTGACGCTGACCAGGGGGCCGTCCACACCACAGTCCTGCTGGACTCCAGGTCAGATGTGAGCTGAGCCCAAACCCCAGCTCTGCCGCCCGCCGCTCGGTACCCTCCGTGGCCTCAGTTTCCTTGTTGGCGAGATGAGTGTAATTATGGGATAGCTGTGAGGTGCCGGGGAGGTGAGTGTTGACGGTCGATGTCTGTACACAGTAGGCATCCGATAAATGCAGGCTGCAGACTAACAGGGAGAGGTGTTGTCCCCAAGGCTCGTCCCCGCTCCCCGCCTCCCCTCCCCTCCCCTGCTCCTCCACCCAGGCCTCCCTGTGTTCCCCAGGACACTGTGCGCCTTGCCACCTCGGGGCCTTTGCACGGCTCTTCCCCCTGCCAGGGACGCCCTTCCCTCCTCGTCCCCCTGATTGCCGCCAATGCCAGCTTGCGTGCGGTGCCCACGGCATCCTGGCGTTCGGCGCGGGATCAGGCACACAGCTGGCACTCAGGAAACGCACGAAGTGGGATGAAATCAGGGCGGACCCCCGGCTGCCCTCCCCCCACCCCCTCATTCCATCATTCCGGGGAAACTGAGGCCCATAAAGGGGGCAGCGAGCGACAGCGGAGCCCTCGCGTCACCCGGTGGTGCAGGCGGAGGAAGCCACCGCCACCCCCTCCCCGCCCCTGACCCCCGCGGAGGGCCAGGCGGCAGAGGCAGAGACCGGGCCAAATTGAAATTGATCGTGGGGAACAGCTCGGCAGGGTGGAACAGACACGGGGCCGCCGGGGAGCGAGGGGCACCCGAGCATGCGAGCGCATCCCGGCCAGCGACGGAGAACCGTTTAATCTTCCGTGGAAGCTTCTAGCGGCGGCCTTGCGGGAGCCGGGAGGCCCTCACGGGGCTGAGTCGCTGTGGCTGGCGGAAGCGAGGACGCCTCCCTCCCTGGTTCATCCGTTCGCCCCTCTCTTCCCGGAGCATCGATCGCCGTGTGCCACCCCCGCCCGACGCCGTCTCAAGTCCCTCCTCGGCCGGCCCTGCGGGGTCGGTGGAAGCAGAGAGGGGACCCCTCCCCTTCACGGTGGAAGGTCAGGGCCACAGCCCGGGCTGCAGTGCTGAGCTGCATCTATTGAGCGCCTGCTGTATGCAGAGACCGGCCTGGTTAATGTACTTCCTCCTTTTAGGTTTCCGGCAGCCGTGGTGTTTGTATTCTCCTCGTCCCCCCGTGGGGGTGGGGGGCCCAGAGAGGAGAGAGGCCCAAGGACTCGCACCCACGGAGGGGGAGCTGGGAGCCTGGTCCAGGCCACCATGCTCGGCGGCCAAAGCTTTTGCCGCTGTCTAGAAGACCATGGGAGCTATGGAGGAGTCTAGAGCAGGGGAGGGTGGTCAGGTGGGGGTCCCCTGGCGCCTTCTCAGTGGGGACAGCTGGGCCATGTACCTCCCCCGTCCATCCCCACCCCAGGGGGTACACTGAGGCACAGAGCCAGTTAGAAGGCAGGTGTCCAGCGTGGCTGTGACTTCCCGGGAACTTCCTGTTTGGAGGCTCAGAGAGGGCGGCTGGTGGCCCGGGGTCACCCAGCCTGGAGATGGCCGGGCCCGATTCCACCCAGGGCCTGGGGGGCTCCCGAGGGCTCTGCCTGCCCTCAGTTTCTCCCAGGGCCTCTGCGGGGTGGTGACCGGACACGTGGCCCGGGGAGTAGCTGTGTTCCCCTGAAGCCCCTGCAACCTTGACCCGGAAGCCCCCCTCGGCGCCTGGGGCGGGGGTCGCAGCCCGGCCCCTTGCTCGGGGGTGCCCCTCCCGGCGAGGGTCTCCACCCGGGATTAGGGGGCCGGGGTCGGGGGTCAACGGCATTTGCGTCGCCTCCTTTCAGGCCGCGAGCGGATCCGTTCTCCCTGCCACCTCGCATTTCCTGGACAAAGGCCGGGCGGGGGGCCGTGCAGAGGGCCGGCCCAGCACCCCTGGGAAAGCCCGGCCGCTCGGGGAGGGCCCGGCTCGTCCTCCAACGCGGGAGCGCCCAGGCTGCAGATGGGGAAACTGAGGCTGGGAGCGAGACAGAGCCGGGGCCGCCTGGCCGCGGAGCCCCTCCGCTGAGGGTCACGGCAGCCCGGGCCGGGCAGGGGGGTCCCCCCCGGCTTGAGCGGCCGGCACTGGAGGCGGTGGCCGTGACCGGGCGGGCGGGCGGGGGGCCGGCGCCGACAAAGGCGGGCAGGCCGGGCCCGCGGGGGCGCGTTCCGCTCGTCAGCGCCGGTTCCACTTGAGTCCATCCTGGACAGGCCGGAATAATCCCTCCCACGCCTGCTGCTGGGCCGTGACGCCTTGAAGGGGCCCCGGGGCCTGACTGACGGCCGGCCCGGGGGGTGGGGGGTGGGGTGGAGCCCGGGACCCTGCCCCCCAGTGCTGGGAACGGCGATGATGGGGAAACTGAGTCACAGGGAGGCACACACATTCTCCTACGTCACACAGGCAGGGCCCGGGCACCCGGGTGGGCCTCGCTGGGACGTCCCCACCCTCACGGCCGCACAGCCGCCCCTGTGACCCGGAGGAATCCGGGGGGCCTGGCCCGGCTGGGCCTCGGGGTCACTTGCCTCCCGTTCCTCCCCCAGCACCTGGGCGACAGGTGCGCACACAGGTGGCCGGACCGGAGGTAGACGGGGAGGCCCAGCCCGAGCCCCTGGGAGCGGCCATCTGCCCGTGCCTCAGTCTCCCCGGCGGGCAGGCGGGGCTGCCCTGCAGAGCAGCCCTCAGCTCGGTGCACGGGGCGCAGAGGCTGCACCTCCGCCCTCCTCCCCGGCGCCCGGCACCCAGGAGGATTCTGCAGGTGGGGACGGCATCCGGGAGGAGGGGACAGCTGGGCTGGGGGCCGTGGACCACAAGGGCCAGCTGTGGCCTCGGGGAACGTGGGGCCGGGCTGGAGAAACTGAGCCCCAGAGGGAGGTGGCCTTGGGGGGTCAATGTAGTCACAAGAGATGCTGGGAGGGAGGCCGGGGCCGCGTGGCCTACAACCCTGGGGGGGCTGCCTGTCACCTTCAGAGGAAAGGACTCAGAGCTTTCCTCCCGCCGGCCACAGGGCCTTTGCTCAGGCAGGTCCCTCCACACCGGGCGACTTCCCCGAAATCGTGGCCCCAGCTCCCGGCCTCCCTGAGCGGCTCATCCGTCCCGGCCGGGGCCTGGGCTCCTTGGCAGCTCCGTCGGGACAAAGACCCCCGTCTCTGGCCCCCGTCTTTCAAACCCACCGAGGTCACCTTGTCACCTGTGGGAAAACCCACCTGGGGCAGGGACAGCCGTGCGAAGCGCCTGTGACCGTCTCTGGACGGCGTGGGCTTCGGGGCGCCCTGGGTGCCCGGTCAAGCAGGTGCCGTGGGCGGGGCCCCTTCCCTCTGGGTCTGGGCCGACCTGGGCCTCAGTTTCCCCAGCTGTGAAGCAGGTGCTGGCTTCTGCAGAGCAGGCCCCACTGCCTCTGCCCCGACCCCCGGGGCCCGCTCCGCCCAGCCCTCCGCGGCCCCCCCGTCCCCCCCCTTCTCTGCTAATCCACCAGCCGGCCCGCGCCTCGGTTTCCCCTCCCGCCACCTAATCCCCGGATTGTCGGAGGCCGGTTTTACATACATTTAGAGGCTTTTCATAATAGATTTACTGGGCCCCAGAACGGCCCTCGCCGCGATTAGCGGCTCCTTAATTGAAAACGCCCCTCCCGCCCTCCGCCCCCTCCCCCAGGCGCCGCGGAGGGAACGGGCCAGGGAGGACCCCGGAGCCGCGCGGGCCTCGTGGGGGCTCCCCATGTGCTCTGATGGGGTCTCCCCGACATCGACGGGCGGGGTGGTTCTGCCAGGACATCCCCAGGGAGATCCGCTGCCACCCGCAGCCCGAGGGGCCGAGCCGGGACTCGACCCGTCCGTCCCACAGCCCTGGGGCCGGGGGTCCCCCTGTTCCAGGTGGAAGCACATGACTCTCCCCGGCTGAGGAGCCGGCCTCACTCGAACCCGGGCCTGTGGGACCAGGGCCGGGCCTCCCACCCTGGGGCTCAGAATTCGGGTCCCGGACCCCAGATCTTCCTCCCTGACCCCATAAGAGCCTCCCCAGGGCCCCCCCCATCCCAGGCTGCAGGGGTGCAGGGATGTCTGCCGATGCAACGGGGGGCGGTCGATTGGGGGCCCGGAGCCGGTGACGCGTCCCACCCCCCACCCCCAGCCATCGCTGCTGGGTCCCCAACCGGGCAACTTAATTCCTCCTGTCACCAGGATGTGGGCCGGGTTTATTTATCTGCTGTATATATGTGTTTTAATTTAAAGATCTGCCAGCCAGCACGCTGACTCCCGCGGAGCCCCCACCGTGGTCCCCCCTCATCCAACGAGGCTGTTCCCCACCACCCTCCAGCCCCCCGGCCCTCCCCGAGGATTGAACGCTGGAGAATGAGCCCAGCGCCTCCAGCCCCGCCCGCCCCTTCGGTGAGAAAGAGCACTTGATTTGGAGTCCATGTGCGAGACACACTCATTCAGTCATTCAACAAACATTCATTGAGGGCCAGCTGACTTTGGGCCGGACAGTGGGGCCCAGGAGGGAGGGGGGATCAGACAGCCTTGCCCTTGTAGGGCCAACCACTCCAGTCACTGAGAACCCTCCAGGCTCTGAGCCCCCATGGTGTGCCACTGTGGCGCCGTTTTCCAGATGGAGAATCTGGGGCTCTGGGAATAGCGGGGACTCCTCAGTGGTGGGTGATACAGACAGTGTGGGAACCCTGCAGCTGTGCCCTCGGCTAGCGGGGGCAACTGACCGCTCTGTGCCTCAGTTTCCCCTCCTGGCCACAGGGCATCTAGAACCGCAGCCGGGCCCCGTGTGTGATGGATGATGACAATAACAGCCCCGGGTGTGCGGGCACTCTGGCGGCACGGCCCTCATTAACGCTGGCCGGGATATTGCGAACATAACTCTGGCGGGCCCGGCGGGTGGCGGCCAGGCGAGGGCGCCGAGGGGGCCTGAAGTGCCCCCCTCAAGGGTCAGCGGGTGTGCCGAGCGGTCCGAGGAGGGCGCTTTCAGGGGGACGCCCCCCCCCGTGGCGGGGTAATAAGAGACCCTGATTCTCGCGGCTTCAGGGTGACCCGGCCAGGCCAGCAACCCTCAGAGCCACCGCGGACCCTTGGCGCCCAGAAGACATCCCCGGACGGGCCCGGTCGCCCCTCCTCTGTAAAGTGGGTCTCAGAGGGGTAAACTGAGGCCCAGAAAGGAAAACGCCCCCTGCCCTGAGTTGGTGCTGGAGTCTGAGCCTCTCACCCCGTCGCACAATCGGGGAAACTGAGTCCCGGAGGGGCGTGCAGCTCAGCCAAAGGGCGGAAGGAGGAAACCAGGCCGACACCTCGGAGACCAGAGCTCACGCCCTCGCTTTGTAAATGGGGAAACTGAGGCCCAGAGGGCGGGGCTGGGGCCTGAAGGGGGAGAGAATGCTCCTTCAGTGTGGGGACCGGCCTGGAGCCGCCAAGGGAGGAGCCGGGGAGCGGGACGTGGTGTTGGGGTGCAGACTCCAGGTGCCCGTCTCAGGCTTGGGGCCTCCTCTGGTGCCCCCCCCCAAGCCCGGCTGTCCTTTCCCCACCTGCCCAGCCCGAGGGTCCCCGGGGCCGGACCCCCGCCTCCAGCCTCCCCTTCCTCCCCCAGGATGCCCGTCGGGGCTGGGAGGACGCGCCAGACGCCTGCCTCAGTTTCCCTCTCCTCCGATGGCAGGGTCCGTGATGGAGGGGGGAAGCGTAGGGGGCTCACAGAGAGCCCGTCCATGAGAAAGACCCCCTCGCCTCCCTCCGCCCTTTGCCCCTTGGGGGCTGGACCTCCGGGGGGCGGGGATCCCCTGGAACGACTTTCATAGGTCGTTTTCCAGAGCTTCTCCCACCCCCAGGAGCCGGTGCTGTGGCCCAGACCCAGGGATGCAGAACCCACGGCCCGTGGTGGGGCGACCTGGACATGGGCGCCCCCAACCCTGTGTGGCGGGGACATCAGAGCCTGGGGAGAGGGCAGCCCTGGGGTCCCCCCAGCCTGGCGTGCGGCCGATGTTTCCTGGAGGAGGGGGGTGGGGGCGGCCCCCTCCGCCCAGGACCCCGCTGCTTTGGGGGTCCCCAGTCTCATCCACCGGCTGCCCCACACCCAGCTCCTGATCCCGGAGGCCTGGGTCTCCCTCTGGGTTCACCCCAGGACCTGTGGGGCCTCGGTTTCCCCATCTGCACAGGAGAGAGGGGGTCTCCTGCCCGGCTCCAGGACCCCCGACCCCACAGGCTGCATCGTCCATTAGGTCCCATCCACGGCCTCCGGGCCTCCGTCTCTGGGTCGACGGGGCGGGTCAGGGGCTGTGGGGTGGGTGGCCCCCGGGGGGGTCTCTCTCTCTGGTCCCGGCCGCCCCTGCCCCGCGGCTCCCGGTCCCCGTAAGTGAGCAGAGCATCAGGCGACAGTGTGGACAGAAGAGGCACAGAAGGGTCCAGCAGCCTCTGGACGCCTCCCGGGGCGGCCCAGGTCCTGGGCGAGTCCGCTCCCCATCCCCCGCCCCCAGTCCTGCCCACAGCCCCCCGGGGCTCCCCCTGCCCGCCTCCTTCGCTCGGCCTTCGGGGCCACCCCCCTCGGCCCCCTCCCTCCCTCCCTCCAGGCTCCATGGAGCAGCACTTGGTCTGGTCCTGCCACGGGGCCTGTGCTCGGCATTCGAGGCCCCTGCTTCTCCCAGGTCCACACCCATCCGTGGCGCTAACGATACCATCATGACAATGACCAGAGCAGCCCAGCAGCTCCGCGGGGAAACTGAGGGAGGGAGGCGCTCCGGGACCCCCTCACCCACAACCCCGGCGGTCTCCTCCGCGCCGGCCACACCAGCCGCGCTGCGGCCACTTCATTTGCGGCTCGTGTGTCGTCTTGCGGTGATTTATGGCTCCTCGGGGGCCCCGGGCTGTGAACTCGCTTTTTATTCATCCATCAGGGGCCGCCCGGCCTCCTGCCACCTGGACCAGGTTCCCACTGCAGTGGCCTCCTCCGCGTCCCTTAAGTCCCCCAGATCGGGCCCAGGAGCCCTGAGGGCACAGACCGAGGGAGGGCCCAGCACGGGCTGCACACAGTAGGCGCTCACTAAATGCACGCTGGGGGCGCTGATGTGGACTCAGGAAACGCGACCTGTGGTGGACACAGGTGGTTCCCGAGAGACCCGGGCCCCAGATGCCAGAGTCTGGGGGGACAGGGGCGCATGGCGCCTGCGGGGTCTCGGTCCCTCTGCACACGGGTGCACGTGTGTCTGTGCATGTGGCAAAGGACAAGTCTGAGGGGAGACTCTCTGCCGTGGACCAGGCACTGAGTCCCAGTGATGACCAGACAGACCCGCCCCTGCCTACTGGGGACTCGGAGCCCGTGTGGGAGACGGATGGGTTCAGAATCAGAGATTTGACAGCGAGGAGCGTGGGGTGAGCCGTCCCCGGGCCAGGGAGGGTGAGAGGGGACGAGTGACCTAACCTGCAGGAGCTGAGGGAGAAAGCTGAGCAGTGGTCTGCAGGAAGGGTGTGTGTGTGGAGGGCAGGCAGCACGTGCAAAGGCCCTGAGGTGAAGACTAGGCTGTTTTTGCACTTGCCTATCCATCCAGGCCACCTGTGTGTTAAAACTTGTTTCGAAAAGTATGAAATAGTCAAAATATAGCTAGGTGGAAACAACTGAAGCGTCCATCAACAGATAAACGCATAAACACGATGTGTCTACCCACACGCTGGACTATTACGCAGCCGTGAAGAGGAGCGAGGCCCTGACACGGCTGCACGTGGACGGACCTGCACACACGACGCTCAGGGAGAGACGCAGACACAGACACATGGCGTGTGACCCCATTGACGTGAAACGTCCAGAACAGGCAGATCCACAGACAGAGAGCGGGCTCGTGGGGGCCAGGGGCTGGGGAGGGGGTGGTGGTCATGCTGATGGGGACGGGGTTGCTTTTGGGGTGATGGAATGTTCTGGAATTAGATCCAGGTGGTGGTCGCACAGCTCTGTGAATATACGAAAAATCGTGGAATTGTGTTTAAATGGAGGCACCGCGCAGGGTGTGAATATATCTCAATAAAAGATTCTTTTCATAACAGAATACAAGTCAGCGGCTCAGATGCCGCCCGTGACCCCTGCACCCCAGCCTCTCCCTCCAGGGCCCCCGTCCCCGGGGCTGGGTTGGAGAGTCTGGGTGAGGGGTCTCGGGGCGGTCTCCTCATCTCCGAGCCTCGGGGTCCCGCCGCGCACAGGGATCCCGGGGTGTCCCCGCGGTGCTGGCCGGCTCCGGCGTCCCCGCTGCTGGCGGGCGGGGCGCACACAGGGGGCTTTGTGCCTCGCGGCCTCATTAGGAAGCAGCCCCGGTCCCCGGGCGGCGCGGCCGAATTAATGAGCGGAGGGCGTTCCCTCCGAGGACCGTGCCCGAGACGCTGTGGCCCCGGCGGTGGGTGGCACCGGGACGGCGGGCCGCGGGGACCCCGGCCCCTGGGCCGTGCCCGGCAGTCCGCGGCTGCGCTGCGGGGGAGGCCCCGGGTCCACCGACACACACCCGCCTTCTGCAAAGGCGGAAGGGGATGACGAGGCGACAGACAGGCCCCCAGGCGGCCTGGGGCAATGAGGGAAACCGAGTCACACAGCAGTGGAGCTTGGTGACAGAGATGTCAGCGAATTTGGTCACTGAAACTGCGGACGCCCCCACCCCAAGCATGGACGAGGGGCCGGGGGGCCCTGCCCGGCCCTGGGGTCAGGGTCTCCGACGTGCCCAGGAGCCCCCGCTGTCCACTCACAGTCACATCCTCCCAGCTGCCCCCGGGGCGGGCGCTGGTTCCCATCTCCAGAGGGGGAACCGAGGCTCAGGGGCGGCGATGAAGGGTCCAGCGCCACCTGAGATGCTCATTCCCGGGCCCGGCCCCCAAACCACGTGCAGAACCCAAGCATTGACCGTGGCGGCACCCCGACAGCCTGCACCCTGCCCCCTGCAGGTCCCGGACCCGCCTCCCGGGATCCCCTCCAGCCGGGGTGGCCCAGGCCCCACAGAGACGCGCATTCTGAGGTTCACACTCATTTTATTATAAAAAAATACAGAATCCAAAGTTGATTGTGACGGGAGTGGGGAGGCCCCGCGGCCAGCCCTACAAAAGCCCCCGGGCCGGCCGTCTCCGGGCGGCCGCACCCCATATATATTTATATATAATATATATAAAACACAGATCAGGAAAGGCGGGTAGAAATATGAAATTTGTACAAATGCACCATTTGCGTCATTAAAGTGTCTTGGGGGGGGGTGTGTTTGGGTGGTGGTCCCACCCCCCCCATCCTGTTTTGTCCCGTTTTCTTTTTTCTTATAAACATTATCAGGTCACAGCATAGAGGGAGGGGCTCCGACAGACAAACGAGCTTATTGCGAAGTGCGGCTTCTATTCTAAAAAGTCCACCCCACCCCCCCGCCAAAATAAAAGCCCCTCTGAAGGGGTGAGGGGAAAAAAAAAAAAAAGAAATTTTCCAGTCCGTCCTCAGGAATACAGTAAAAATAAATCACAGTATATACTTGCTGGCTCTATTTACAGAAATGTGACGTCTTCTCGGCCTCGGGGGCGATCGGGCAAGGTCGCGGGGGACCGGGGGACGTGGGCGCTGTGAGTCTGAGGGGTCGCGGCTCCGCGGTGGCCTCGGGTGGAAGGTTGTGGGTTTCCACTCCGGGCGATGCTCATCAGGAGTGAGCAGGGTGGGGGTCTGAGGCCCCCAGACCACATTCAGGGGGACGCGCCTCTCCAGCCTGGGGCACCTGGGGGCGTCCGTGGTGGGAGCCAGCCGGGACCCAACACATACAGCACCGGGGTCCCCGGTCCCCTGACCCCCCCACCCCATCCATCGTCCCCTTCCCAAAGTCACGGGCGACAGCAAGGAATAAATTAAATTAAAAACTCAAGTCTTTCTGCTCCAACCGGGAAAAATGCACCGAAAAAAAATCGCCGAGAGATGCTCCAGGCTCCGACGGGACGGGACGGCCAGGCCAGGGCTCGCCGACACGCGGTCCCTCGGGCGCGGGGGGTCCTGGCTGCCCCGGGGCTGGTCCCGGGGGCGTCCCGGCCGGCGGGCAGCACGGGCGCACAGGGTCCGGGGGTGGCCTAGGCGCCCAGCAGGGTCCAGAGCACGGGGACGGCGCCGAGGAGCAGCCGGCGGCCGCGTGGGGCGCCGCACGAGTTGTTGCTGGTGAAGATGGGCTCTGGGGACTCGTAGAGGCTCTCGTCTGGGGACACGACACGGGGACAGGCGGGGCGGGTGGTCAGCGGGCGGCCCAGACCCCGCCCCCAGCCGCCGCCCGCTCAGCCTCGCCCCGCCCGCCGCCACCTGAGCTCCCGAGCCGGCCGGGCCGAGACTCCCGTCTCCGTGGCAAACGGCGGGTGCCCCCTGGAGGTATGCCTGGTGCCGGGCGGGGGCGCGAGGACACCGAGGCCCTCTTCCCTCCGGGGGCCTCTGGGATGCTCGAAGAGCCAGAACGCGGCCCCCGCTCCACCTCCGGGCACAAAGGGGGGCCCGACCGTGGACTTCAACCCCCACCCTGAAATAGGGTCTGAAATGTCGGCCCCATCTGCAGACGGGGAAACTGAGGCTGGGGGGCAGGGCCTGCCCCAGCCATGGCTGAGGCTGTGGGACTCCTGAGGCTGTGCTGTGACTGCCCTCTGATTCTACTGACCACTCAGCCTGGACCCTGCCCGACCCCCTGAGCACTTACTGGTTGGCCTTACGTAAACCTTCAGCCGCAGGCAGGGCCGGTCCACGGCATTGGGCGGCGTGGCAGCTGCAAGAGAGGGGTTGGGGGTTAGTGGGATGGGGGCTCTTGGTGCCCGGGACCACCTGGGGCTGCATCCTCTTCCCCACGCTGGTGACTCAAGCCTGACCTCAGGTGGGAAGCCACTCATAAAACTCCTAATCATACATCAAAGCCCCAGGCACAATGCCCCGTGTCCTGCACACACACCCCCCACCCCACCCTGTCCCTTTGCCAAACCCTAACCCCAGAGACTGGGGGTGTCTGTGTCCGGCTCACCCCAGGGCAAAGTTCAGAGGTGATGAATACAAATACGTGTGTTTTCTATTAATTGCAAAAAAAGTCAGTGCAACCGAATGACTGAGCCGGAACCAAATCTCTGCTCCTGGGTGCCCGTCGGCAAGTCACCCCCTCTGGGCCTCATCTGGCACAGAGTGGGTGCTTTAGAAATGCCGATGTCCCACTGGGAGAACCCGGGAGCCAGTCCCTCCCGAGAGGGAGCAGTGTTCCTGCCTCGCCCAGAGGGGGTCTCAAGGAGGCAGCAGCACGTTCTATCCTCTCGCGCTAAAGTTCCACCACTATCCGCACTTCCTGGCCCACACGGCGAGCACCCCGGAGGGGACCGGGGGTGGCCCCACCGCGTCAGCGATGCGCCAGGAGAGAGGGCGCTCAGGAGGGGCCAGTACAGGGACCGGGAGGCCTGAGGACTGGCGGGTTTGCACACGTGAACGGGCGTGGGCACCCCTGCGTCTCCGGCCGGGCCTGTCCCCTCGGCGGCCGCCACCTCTGCCCGCCCCCCCCCACCCGGAAGCCCCTCGCGCTGGGAGACGAAGATAAAAAGCACGTAACACAAGTAACATTCGTCACAGAGAGAGGACGAATAATTGCAATAATTATCTTTATGAAACTCTCGTCTCGGAAAGAAAAATGTAATTTTTCTTATATTCCGGGGACTTCATTCGAACGCCTTCTTCCCCCTCCCCCGCCCGCTTCTCTCCTTGAATCGAAAGGAAAAAAAAAAATCCAACCAGCGCAGAGGAAGGAAGGAGGGGGGGCTCCCTCGAGTGTCACCTGACACAGCGGGAGGGGGTGACGGCCGGCCCGGCCCCCCCAGAGCCAGACTCGGACCCGCCTCCCCAGACCCTGCCATCCGGGCTTTGTGGGGAGGAAACGTGGGGCCCCCGGGACTCCCCGGACGTGCGGCAGGTGGGGCCCGCCCGGTCCCCTGTGTGGCATGGGCGCCCGCGTGTCCCCAGGCTGCCCCGACCGACCGCGGGAAGCAGCCTCCACAGTCCTTGGGGCACCCTGGGGTGGGGGCGGATGCCGGGGGACGGCCCGGAGAGCCCTGTCCAGGCCGGGGAGGTGGGGCGAGACACGGGGTCTGCCCTCACCCCCTCCCGTGGCTCTGACCACGCTCCCTCCCCGGCCAGATTCCCTATGCCTCAGTTTCCCTCCTCAGGGTGATAGGGGTGGGCAGCCCTGGTCTCAGTGCGGCCAGGCTGACCGGTGGGGCATCGGCCGCCCCAGCCCAGAGGCCCAGGGGCCTGATCCAGGGGTGGAGGTGACAGAGGGAAGGCCGTGTGTGCAGGGGGGGGGGGGGGTCTCAGCCCCGCTCTGAGCCTCAGTTTCCCCATCTGCAAAATGGGGACTCGGACAGCGGGGCCTGCGGGGTTTTTGCTGGGAGGACGGTGAGAGCATCTGAGAGCTTGACCCCCAGGAACGGAGGCCCGCGCTGGGTGGGGGCTGGCCCTGCGCCCCCACCTCCCGCTCGCATCCCCCCCCCACGGTGCCCGTGCCCCCACTCACAGATGTAGTAATACTCGTGGCCCGGGCGGAACTCGAAGCCGAGCGAGAAGGGCGTGAAGAGCTGGAACTTCTCGGAGAACTTGAGCGGCCCCCCCGGCGCCGCGGGCCGGTTGCACTCCCAGCGCTTGAAGCCGCGCTGCCGGTGGTCGCAGGAGGCGTGGCCCTCGCCGTTGACCATGTACAGCACGTAGTGCTCCATGCGCTCGGCCGGCGGCAGCGGCGCCCCGTAGTGCGGGCAGTAGATGTCCAGGTAGTCGTTGATGCTCACCTCCACCGTGTAGCCCCCGCCGTCATCCGCCGCGCCCGCATGGAACCTGGGGCAGGGAGGGGTCAGCGGGGAGGGGTCAGTAGGGTGAGGTCAGGGATGGAGTCAGTGGGGAGGGGTCAGGGGTGGGGTCAGGCATGGGGTCAGCAGGGTGGGGTTAGGGATGGGGTCAGTGGGGAGGGGTCAGGGATGGGGTCAGTGGGATGGGGTCAGTGCAGGGTCAGGGATGGGGTCAGTGGGCGGGGTCAGGGACGGGGTCAGCAGGGAGGGGTCAGCGCAGGACGGGAAGGGGCCAGGCCAGGAGATGGGGGGAGGCAGTGGGGGGACCGCCGGGTGGACACCCCACCCACAGGGTTCCAGGGTTCGAGCCCGCGTGCCCCACACGGCACCCCCCAGGACACAGCAGACACCTCGGGTCCAGCGAGCTGGGGGCCCCCGGCCCACAGTGAGGTGGGTGCAGGGGAAAGAGGGGCGGCCGCCAGGCATGCCGGGTAACCGCATGCAAAGCAGCGGGTGTCACACGACCCCTCCACGTCCCACACCTGAGCCCCCTGCCCCAGGCCCCCCACGAGCTGTCCACCAGGAAGTCCCTCTCCAGAAATGCTCCTGCTCGCCCCAACGCCCCCTCCTCCAGGCAGCCCCCATGCTGCCCCCCGGGGGGCAGCCACCGAGCTTTGCTCCTGCAGATCCGCCCGCCCAGAAGGCCCAGGGCCGAGTAGGCGACACAGGCCCCTCTGGGGCGAGCTCTGCCCGCACCCCTAGCCTCGGTTTCCCTGCGGGGCGTGGGGCTTGGTGTGAAGGACCCTGCGGCCCTCCCTCCGTCAGCCCAGCTCAGAGATGCCCTGGTCCAACCCCCAGCCCCACCTCCTTCCTGCGTGACCCCGGCCGGTCCCCCACGTCCTCCCTCTGGAGCCCCCAGAATCCCACATCTGCCCCCAGCTCCTGGCTCCCCCTGGGGACCCCCTGCCCTCCCCAGCCCCACCTCCAGGCCCGCCCTGGAGTCCCCCAGACTCTCGCCCCGTCCTCGGGGAGGCCCTGACCCTCGGCAGCGAGGACGGAGGTCAGCTGAGCAAGGGACCGGCGCTCCCCTTCCATCACCGCCTCGGGCAACAGCGTCAGGAGCCCTTAGATCTCCCGCCCGTGGTCCCCGGGGTCCCTGTCATGTAAACGCGGCCCGACCGAGGGGGGACAAGGGGGGCCTCCCGAGAGGGGCTTGTTAGCACATAAAAGGCCCGAGCAGCAGAGGCTTGGGGGGCAGCCTCCCCCAGGCCGCCCTGCCTCCTCCCTCCCTGCACAGGTGGGGAAACTGAGGCCCAGGCTGCTCGGGTCCCAGCCCGGCCACCACCTCCGCGCCCGCCCCCCCCCCGTGCCAGCCGCCGGGCCCGCGGGAGGGAGCGCGGCACGGCCCCCATGCGGGGCGTGCTAATTGGCACAGCCGACCCCCAAGGGGGCGGCTGGGTTACCAGATGGCATCGCCGGCGCCCCGCAGCCCCCGAGATGCTGCACCACGTGGGGCCGAGGGCTCCTGGGCCCCAGAGGTGGGAATGAGGCAGGCAGGAGACCGTGCTCACTCGTGCCTCGGTTTCCCCATCCGTCACTAGAAACCCGGTGATGATTTTGAGTCTGCGGCTGAGGTCTAGGCTGGCGGACTTCCAGGTCCAGGAGCTGGGTGAGCTGGTTCGCCCCCAGTCCCTTCCCGGCTCGGTTGGGTTCGCCCAGGGACGGGGAGCTCACCCCACTCCCACAGAGGAGGAGGGTGTTTGCAGAATAAACGTGTCCGGCCGTGAGACTGGGGCAGCGGGGGCCCGTCGGGGGCGCGGACCCGCGTAGCTCTGGGCTCGGACGCGGGTTCCAGTCCAGCTGGTGTCTCCGCTCATTCTCTCCTCGAAGCCTCAGTTTCCAACTCGGAACAGTGGGGACGGTCCTCAGGGCTCACGAGGCGGCCCCGGGTCAGCCGGGGACCCCCTTCCGTCTCAGACCCCGCCCGTCCCTCGAGTGCCCCCAGGCCGGCAGGCGGGCGGGCGTCTCATTGACCCGCCACCTCCTCCGGCCCGTGGGTGCGATCGATGCCGACGCCGCTCCAGGCTTTTTGAAAAGTCATTTTCGCTCCTTCCCGGCCCCACTGAAAGCCTCATTGATCAGCCGATCGATGATAGCCGTGGCCCAGCGCCCCGGGGACCCGCACGCACCCAGGCCGAGTCCTGCGGGGGAGGCTGCTCCGGGGGAACCACGGGCGGGGGAGGGGCCGGGCCGGAGGCGCCGCAGTCCCGGCCCCCAGCCCCCTCCGGGCCTCGGTTTCCCCTCTCGGCCCCGGCACGATGCCTGGGATGCACACTCGGCCTGAAAGAGAAGAACTCGGCTCTCAGCAGAGCCTCTCTCGTGAAGGGAACGGCCGGGGGTGGGCGCGGCCTCTGCCCGGGTCCCCCATCACCGTGCCTTCCTCCTTCCACCCGGCGCCGCCATCGTCCTCCTCTCCCAGTTCATCTTCCGCAGAACCTCAGAGACCGAGGCTGCTTTTCTGGCTCAGCGGCCTGATGTCCGGTCCCACCAGGCCGGCCAGGCTCCTGGCCTCCCCCAAATCCAGGGCTCGCCCTGTGACCCGCAGACTTGACGCCCTCCGTTAGCTCCCCGTCGCTCAGAACAAAGCCCACAGTCGTCCCCGGCCCACGAGGCCCCGTGTGGCCCCACTGCCCCCACTCTCATCGCCCTCTGTCTTCCCACAGCTCACTCCTTTCAGCCACAGCAGTCTCCTGCCTGTGCCTATTCCCACCCCAGGGCCTTTGCACATGCTCATCCCTCTGCCTGGCATTCTTTTCCCTGTCTCCCCCGCCCCAGCACTATCTCCGTCCGCCATCGTCATATTTATACCGTTACACAGTCTGGCGTCTGGCCTCGCGGACTGTGGGGTCGGCCTCCTTCTCCGATCCTGCCCCCTGTGGCCAGAGAGACCCTGGTACACAGCGGTGCTCAATACGTGTTTGTCGATCAAAGGCCAAGATTCGAGGTCTTTGAGGCTGTAGAGTTGTGAGGAGCAGAGAACGGTCCCCACGTAGGGAGTGAGGACCCCAGGCAGGCAGGTCCCAGGAGGAGCCCCCGACATGATCTCCAGCCGCCCATGCTTTCCCTTCCCGGCTCTAAGATAGCAATGGCCTTGCTGTGTTGGCAATCCCGGTTCCAAGTTGGCCGACGAGCCAGGGGCGGGCGCCTTGCCCCAACTCGGGGTGGCGCCTGCCCGGGGAGGGGGCCCAACCGCAAAACCAAGCCCGGGGGGAACAAGACAAAGGCCCCGTTTCCTCCATCAGCGAGGAAGCCGGAGATGCAGATGCTTCGCGGGAGCGGCGGAGAGAGATGGAAATTCTCACTAAGGGGTTAATGACTGATTTGGGATCGGTTCCCAGACGGAGGGCTCCCCGCCCCCACCGGCCACACCTCCGCCTCCACCGCCCTGCCGGCCTCCTGCCCACGTCCACTCCTCCAGGCAGCCCTCCCAGCCCCAGGCGAACCCTCACCCGTCAGGGCTCCCGGGCTGCCCCGACCCCCCCCAACCCCCCGGCCGGCAGCTAATTAGCTCCAATCGGGCGACTGTCAAGTCATTAGACGCTAATAGCAAAGCAACTAATTAGGAATCTCACCCAAAACAGGAGCGGGGGGGCTGTGCCGCCTTCCCAGATGGGAAACCGAGGCACGGGGTGGGGGGGCAGCACCCCAGGGCCCCGAGTGCCCACCCCGCCCCCAGGTGGGTCCAGGTCTCTCTCTCTCCCCGCTTCTCCAGCTCCCAGGAAAGGGGCCGAGGCACCATCCTCGGCTGTCCGAGGGGCCGAGAAGACACCTGCCCCTCGGAGGCCCGGCCGCCTTCCTCCTGCGGGGCCCAGGCAGGACCTCAGGGAAAGCTGGACCCCAAGGCAGCACAGCGTCAACCCGAGAAAGGGTGAATATGACCTTGTGGGTGCCGGGGGTAAACTGAGGCAGGGCCTCAGTGCTGAAGCAAGAGGAAAGGGTGAGCGGCGGGGCGTGGAAGGAAGGGGGCCGCAGAGTCGGCGCCCCCCAGGCCTCGGTCTGTGGGAAGACGCGAGGGAACACAGTCCACGGGGCGCGTGTTCCCCTGTCCCCATGATGCCCACTGTGACACTCCCTGGCCGGCCCCAGACACGGCTGACCCTGGAGGAGGGGACACCCCGACGCGGCCCGATGTCCTGGTGGCCGTGATCAGTCACTTTCTCGGGGTCCGTGAAAAGGGGGCGTAATGGGGGGAGGCCGACCTGCTGGTGGGGAGTCGGGGAGGACGGCTGGTGTGGCAACTCGGCCACTCGGTGAACGGAGCCCCTCCGCGGCAAGGTCCCGACGGGGAGACTGAGGCACGACGGCTGAGCCCCCGCGAGCCTCGGCTGGGCTGGCCTGGCCGCAGAGTTCCGGGTCCAGTCGGGGTGAAGACAAAACCCCGCGGGGCACTCAGCTGCGGGGCTGGGACGGGGCGCGGGGGGGCCCTGGCCCTTCTCCCCTCGTGGCCACCCGGCGGGGGACACGGCCAGGCCCACCCTCTCCCAAGGACAAAGATCCCCGGCAACACCGAGAGGCAGGGCTGACGTGTGACCCGTTCTGAGAAGGTGGGGGTCACGGGGAGGACACGGCCGTGGGGTGCGACCCCCCCAGGTCTGGCTCAGGGGCCGAGGAGGCGGCCGAGGGAAGGAAGACGTCGGCCCCGAGGATGCGGGTCTCCCAGCCCCCATCACCACCTCCGCCCCTGACCCCGTCGAGGACGCGTGTGCCAGGGCCCGGAGGTCACAGAGGGCCGGCCCCCATCCCGGGCCGCTCCCAGGCAGGTGGAGACCACGGCTCCCCGGGGGCGTCCGCCATGGGGACTCAGTTTCTCTCTCTGCACAGAGGCTGCCCAGGGTGGTCCACGGGCGGGGGGACCAAGGCTGGGCACAGGAGGGACTCCCCCGCCTGTCAGAGCCCAGGAAGCCTGGGTGCCTGACTCAGACCACACAGAGGGAGGCCCAGCCCCCTGGGGGGGCGTCTCAGAGCTGGCCCCCAGCCCCCGGCACTGCTGTGGGCCCCCCCGTAGGTCACTCAGGCCGGAATGCCGCCGTCACTGCAGACATGGGGACCCTGGCCTGGAGGTCCCTCCTCTCGCCCGCAGGAGCTGCCTCGGTTTCCCCTGCCGGGGGCCTCTGCACTCCCGGAGCATATGCGTTCCTGGGCCACGGGCTGTGCCACAAAGCGGAGTGGACACAGGGAGGCAACACAGGGGTTCCGAGCAGCCGAGCCGCCCGCCCAAGGTCACCCCCAGGTTTCCAGGACCCCCAAATCCGAGCCCGGGCCCCCCCCAGCCCCCCGGACCCCACCCTCCAGCCCCAAGTCCCCCAGACCCGCCGGGCCTCGCTCTCCAAGCCCCCCAAGCCGGGCGGACGAGCTGCTTTCAAACGCAACAAAAAACCCTCATGCGGCAAAACGCGGCCGCGCCCTTCACAGCCGGCTCCCCCGAGGCCGGCGAGGCGGGCAGGGCCCTGGGGACCGGGCGCCCCGTCACCTCCACCGCGCGGACGACGCCTCCCCAGGCGCCATTGTCCCGGCCCAGTGGACGCAGAGGGCAGCTCTGCCGCCAGCCCCGGGGTGCGATGGGCCGTGGGGGGGCCGGGGAAGGGCGCCAAGCCCAGAGCCCCCACCCGGGTCCGCACCACTGGGTCCACTCGCGCTGCAGGTTCCAACAGGGTGGGGGCCTCGGGGGCGGAGGACGCCCTGTGTGGTGCCCGCTCTGGGCCTCGATGGCTCCTCTGAGCCAAGGGCAGCCCGGGCCACGGACCCGGACACGGCCCCTCGGGGACCCACGGCTCGAGGAGGAGCGGGCGGGGAGGGCAGACTGTGCCAGCCTCGGTGTGGAGCGTCCACCCCCCACCCGAGGCCCCGGTCGGCCAGAGCCAGGCCACACGCCGGACACGCGTGTGCACAGATGCCGACGACACACATGTGCGCCCCGCACCCACACATGTTCTCTCCGTGCACAAATACGCACACGCAGACACGCCACTGCGGACGCTACACGCATAGAGCATACACACGCCACCACATACATTGCACACGCAGACACGCTCCTGCAAACGTGCGCCTGCCCCCTCTACACGCGTGCACTCCCGGCACAGGCACGCAGACACATGTGCAAACACGCCAGGCTTCTATGGACCCGTAGGCACATGCGTCAGCCTACCACACACACACACACACACACACATGCGTGTGTACCACACACGAACACGCGCACCTCCGGGGTCCCCAGGACCCTCGCGTGTCACAGACAAGAACACGCAGCTACACGCAGCTACACGTAGCTACACGCAGCTACATGCAGTGACATGTGCAGACAGATTCTGCAGCCCAGTGAGGCTCCCAGGGACCCCCGCGGCACCCCGCACATGAGCCCCTGCGCAAATGCACACGCAGCCACACGCTCAGCCCCGGGGCCTAGCCCGGCCCAGCCGGCCTGGGGACAGGCCCAGAGACACCCGGCGGCAGCCCAGGGGTGCCCAGCCCAGGAAGGGGCGGGTCAGACAGACAGCCGGACAGCCGGCCGGTGGGGGTGCCGGGGCCCGGTGGCTGGACCGGGTGAGGAAACCCCAGCCCAAGGCAGCGGACGCAGTGGGTGCGGGGTTCCCCCGGCGACGCCTGCCAGCCGCGTGTGCGCAAAAATGCACGGCACGGCAGGAGGATGCAATCGGGGAACGGTCACATACTCATCACCTCGCCGCAGGTGCCAGGCCGGCCGCGGGGGGGTGGTGACGGCCAGCGTCGCCGCAGCAGCACGGCCCATGCCTGTCCGTCCCCCACCCCAGCACGTCTGTCCCTCCGGCTCCTCGGCTGCCCGTCCGTCCCCACCCGAGCTGCCCACCCTGGCTCTGTCCCCTTCCTCTCGGTGCCTTTTGTGTGCGCCGCTCTCCCAGGCACGGCCCTCTGTCCTCGCGTTTCTCCTCCACCTGCGGCCGCCCCCAGCCCCTCTGCTCCGACACCATCCCGGTCTCTCCCCAGCCCGGCTGGCCTCTCGCCTCCGCCCGTGGGGCCGCCCCAGGCCTCCTCGCCGGCCCTGCACCTCTTTCTGGGCCAGTGTCCCCCGGGTCGGGGCGCCCTTGGGACATCACACCTGGGTGCCCCACACACTGAGGCCCAGGCCACCCTCCTCCCACTCCGGGGCGCAGTTCCGGTCCGGCTGCCCCGGGCACCAAAGCTCCTGGGGGGTCCCCAGGTCGCCGAAGCCCCTCTGCAGAGCCCCCCAACCTCAGCGAGGATGGAACCCCGATTCTGGACCGACCGGGGCTTCCCGGGCGAGGTGCTCACCTGGGCCTTGGGCCCCATCACGAGATGCCGGGGAGGTGACGTGCCACCTGGGACGCCCCAGGCGGGAGGAGGAGAGGGGGTGAGGAAGGCCCTGACCACTGGGGTCTGCGCCGGACAAGCAAGGCCGTCCCCTCGGGCAGCCGGTCGGGGCAGAGCTGTCGGGTCAGCAACAGGAGGGGGCCAAGTGGCCGGCCGGGGCCAGGCACCGGGGCCGCCTCCTTCCCCGGCCGGGATCCCGCCAGCGGCCCGTGGCTCTGTGGCGGGGAGGGTGGCCGGCGGCCCCACGACCCCCTTCCGCCCCCGTTGGAGGCTCCTCGTGTGTGTGTGTGGTGTTCGCTAGAACAAAGGACAGGCCACACCGGGGACGGCGACTTCGGAGCTGAAACCGAAAACTTGGGCCGGGGCAGTGCTGCCCGCCGGGCGCCCGGCTCGGCCGCGGGGAAAGGCTTTAATCAAACCCACATGCGACCAGCGGGGCGGGCGGCGCGGGGGACCGGCTCCGAGGTGGCCCGGCCGTCCCTCCGCCTCCCGGGGTCTCTGCCCTCGGCCCCGGGGGCCGACCCCACAGCCGGGCAGCTGAGGGGGGCGTCTGGGCACGCTCCCTGCCCCCGCGGCGGGACACTGGCCGCCCTTGTCCCCGAGCCCGCCTCAAAGACGGCCCTTTATGCAACTTTCCGCCCGACGATCGAGGACGGCAGGGGACGGTGGGAGGACGGCGGGCTGGGGCGGGCAGCTCGGCTGGCGCTTGAAAACGGAGAGAAAGTGACCGGGGACAGAGGGGCAGGGCGGCAAGGTCTGCAGCCCGGCCCCCACGGGAACAGTGTGACCCTGAAAGCCACTGACCCCAAAGCCGCGGGACACCGGGGTCCCATCTCCCCCGGGACCCCCAGCCAACCTCGGCCTTCGAGCCCCCAGGCTGGCCCAGAGCCTTCTGCCGATGTCCAGGAGGTGGTCAGTCACCAGCAAACTTTGCTCGCTCTGACTCACGGGGCTTCTGCTGCCCCCAAATTGTACTCAGTGCCCAGCACTGAGGAGGTGGGGCAGGCGGGTGGGGCACCTCGGCCGGGCATGGCAGGCTGGGCATGAGGCCACCTGGGTCCCCGCCCCAGCTTGCTCCCCTCGCCGTGACCTTGAGCCAGCCGCTCGTCCCCTCTGCGCCTCAGTTTCCCCATCAGTGGCAGGAGGACCGGGAGAGGATGGTCCCCGGTGGAGACTCCCAGGACTGCTCCCCAGCCCCCTCGGTGCCTCAGTCTCCCCATCCATACAAGCTGGGACCAGACCCCCTTAGTGCGAAGGCGGAGGCAGCTCGGCTGGTAGGGACGTTCCAACTTCCCCAAGTTCATCTGGGGACCCACCGGCAAGACACATCCTTGGAACCCTTGCCCCGGGGGGGGGCCCAGGTCCCCCACCTCCGGGTGCAGCTCAGTGCCAAGGTTCCGGGGCATCCCCACCAACTCCAAAGCCGGCGGGCTCCCTGGAGAGACCGGAGGATCGGGGGGTCCCCCAAGTCCGAGAAGGAAACTCAGGGCTGCATGGCTTCTCAGGGTGCCAGAGGGGTTCCCCAAACTCCGGCGGACAGCAGCGCTCTGGGGCACGCCGGCTGCATGTCCCCCCAGGTCTGCACGGCGGTGGGGCGCCCCGGGGTGGGGGGGTGGAGAACGCACGAGCAGCGGAGTCCCCCGAATTCCGGAGGCTGGAACTCCCCGGGGGCTCCCGCGGCAGCCGGGCGCCCCCCACTCCGGAGGCAGCGCGCGCGGGGGGGCGCGCGGAGCTCGGGCGCAGGGGAGGCCCGGGCCCCGGGCTGGGGGGGCGTCCGGGGTCCCCCGGCGCCGGTCCCCGCGCGCGGCCGCGCTCACCTGGGGTTGCTGCGGTTCCAGTAGACGGCGTAGCGGTCCGAGTTGGCGCGGGCGGCGTCCTCGGCGCGCGCGAAGGGCGGCGGCGGCGGCAGCGGGAGCAGCAGCAGCAGCAGCGGCAGCAGCGGGCGCTGCGCGGGCGCCATGGCCCCGGTCCGGCCGCCGCGCTCGCCTGGCCGCCGCCTGCCAGCCGTCTCCGCCTCCTCCGCCGCCGCGAGCGGGCGGGCGCGGGGCGGGCGGGAGGAGGGCGCGCCGGCGCTTGGAGATCCCCGGCCGCCCCCGCCCCGGCGCGCGCGACCTCGGGCGCCGAGAAGTCAGGCGGCGGCGGGCGGGGAGCCGGGGAGGCCCCGGCCGCCGGCCCGGCCGCGCGGTCTCTCGGAGCGCGGGCCGCCGCCGCCGCCGCACCCGCCGGGGAGGGGCCGGGACTCCGGCCTTTGTCCCGCCCGAGCGCCGGGAGGGCCGCGGGCGCCCCCTCCCGCCGTGCCCCGGCCGCGCGGGGGCTGGGCCTGGGGGTCTCCTGCTCCCCGGCGCCCCCCTCCTGGGCCAAGCCAGCCCGGACCTGTCCAACCCCCCCCCCCCGCCCCTGCGACCCCCAGTTCCGCGGGGCTGTGCGTGCGCCCCCATCGTCATCGCCCGGGCCTGGCCGAGGGTCCCAGCTCCGCTCCCCCCACCAGGCCCGTCTGCAGAGCCTGGCGGGCGCCAGCACAACCTCAAATCGTGGGACCACCTCATCCAAAACCACACCCCCAAATCCTAACCCGGGTGGGCCAACCCCCGGCCTCCTGGGCCCGCCTGGTGAAGACTCAGCTGTCAGACTGACCCAAGTCCAAAGGGCCTGTCCACTGCTGCCTCCCGGGGGGCCCGGCACAGTCACCTCCCCTCTCCCCGCCTGCTTCCTCATCTGGGAAATGGAACCGGGGTCCCTCCCTCAGGCCCCAACTGTGCTGGGCAAACAGTAGGTGCCCCATATAGGTTGAGTCTGAGCAGCTCAGGAGGGAATCCAGGCCAACAGCAGGTGTGTGAACACGCGGGAGGAATCCGACAAGGGTAGGAGAACGGGAAGGGGGTTCGGGCAGAAGGCGCAGCTTGAGCAAAGGCCCAGGGGTCTGACTTGTTCAGAGGACCCAGAGTGATCATTCCTGGGGGTCTGACCGCAGGCAAGGAATTGGGGGCCCGCCCCTCTGGTTCTGTCCTTATTCACGCCACAGCCTCCCTCTCCAGACTCTGAGCCTGGGGTGTGGTACGCTGTCACCAAGCGCTGGCTGGGTTTGTGTCACTCGTCCAGGCCTGGCGTGGGATCCGGGAGCCCAGAGCTCTTGAACTGGAGGGTCCCCGTGCGAGGGATTGTCCAAACTCCTTGCAGGAACCGTGAGAGGCCGGAGATTGGTAAACTGATCGCCCCAGGGAGGCGAGGACGCCCGATGGACCCACCATAGCCACACACCTCTGACGTGTTGTGGCCGTGAGCATGTGTCCCCTGAGCTTCTTCCTTCCCCCACTTCCCCGCCGGCTCCACTTCCCGACCTTTGCTCCGGCCTCGGAGTCCTTTCCCTTCTCTTCCCGTTCAAATTCTGCTTGTCCTTCAAGGCCTGGCCCGCCCTGAGCCCTCTTCCCCTGCAGGACGAGGTTCTCCGTCCTCTGCCCTCTGGGGAACTCCGCCTGGCAGTGCTGGGTGTCCTGGCTTCTGGCTCCTGAATTCCCAGGCCTGCCCCAGGTGGCTCCTCAGAAGAGGGCTGGGACCTGCCCCCGGCTGGTGGCCGAGGCCGGCCCAGGAGGCCCAGAGAAGACCAGATCCAGCCCAGGGTCACTTGGCAGGGCCCGCAGACAGACCCCTGGACGCCGCTGGAGCGAGGGCCTGGGGTTCCAGCAGCTCAGGCCCAGCCTGGCCCAGGCTGGCCGGTCTGGCACTTTGGGAGGAGAGGCGTGGCAAGTGGACCCGGGTACGGGCAGCAGGGTCACAAGCCCAGGGCCTGGCCAGCCCGGCAGCCTGCCTGGCAGAGGGGGCCTTCAGGAAGCTCCCTCCACCCCTGGGGTGGGAAACCCCTCCTGCCTTATGGGACCTCCCAGACGGGGCGGGGGGGCCCGTTTGACCCCAGCAGGACCGGACCTCACGGCGGGAGAAGCAGGGCGCACTGGGGGAAGGGACCGCCTTGGCAAAGGCCCGGCGCCGGGTCGGCTCATTTGCATGCAGGGGCCACCGAGGCGAGAGCCGCCACCGCCACCCGCCGCCGCCGAGCGGATTTGAGCAGAAGCTCCGTTTTCCTTCTGTTCTTGTCTCTCTCAAGGTCAGAGCCGGAGCAGGGACGGGAACAAAGGCGCGCGGCCCCCATTCAACCTCGCGGTGCCCGCGGCCGCTCCCACGGGAGGGGCCCCAGGGGGGGCGGCAGGACAGCATCGAGGCCTGGCCCCGGGCGAGGCGGGGGTGGGGGTGCGGGGACAGCTGCCCATGCTTGTGGGGACCCCTGCCCGGCAGGGGACCACCATGGGCACCCAGAAGGCCCTGTCCCCTCCCAGGGCTGGTGGCCATCCCAGCCTCCAGGTTAGGCTGGCAGGGGCTCAGCGGGAGTAAGCTTCCTCTGGAGTCAAGGGTCAAAGGTCAGGCTCACGCTGAGGACAGGGGTCAGTCTTGGGTTCAAGGCTCAGTCAAGGTCAGGGGTCATCCAGGGTCGCTGTCAGCCCCAGGCTCAAACTCAGGACAGGGGTCTGTCCCCATCCCTCCTGGGCCACACTCTTGGGCGCCGGGATCTGCCCCAGACTGGGAGGGTGGTCCTTGTCCCCTCCAGGTGCAGGCCCGCCCCCTAGCCTGTGCCCAGCCTCTGGTCCCGCCACTGCTGCCCACTGACCCCTGACCCCACCCATGAACCGCCTACCTGGCCAGTCAGCCGAGTCCCCGGGGCTTGGGATCAGTGTCCAGCGCCCCTCAGCCTTCAAAGTCCACGGGGCCCCAGGGGAAGCTAAAAATATTCGGGGAGAAATTTCTCATTACAGAATCAACAGGACCCAAGCGGCAGCCTGCTCCGGTCCTGGCGGTTTTCAGAAGCCTCAGGCGGGGACCGAGAGGGTGGCCGGGGAGAGCAGGGCCTCAGCGAGGCGGGTGGGCACCCGCTGGCCCGGGTCAGAGCGGGGGCCCAGAGAGCAGCCGTGTCCAGGAGGGTCCCCGGCTGTCGGCTGTTGTCGCTGAGAATAAACACGTACCCCTGTCGGTTGCTGAGGAATTAAAATTCCCCCCCTGGTGACCCGTGTCCAGCCAGGCCCTGGAATCTCAGCCCCACCGAGACGCCCGTCACCCCCATCCCAGCCACCCACCCACCTGCGGGACAGGAAGCCACGCCTGCAGCTTCCTCCCCACCCTCCTCCCCACCGTCCTCCCCACCCTCCTCCCTCCTCCCTCCCCACCCTCCCAGCCCCAGGGCCTGGACACGGACCCTGTCCTCCTGAGGTGACCCCTGGCCAGTCTGGGGACTAGACCACCGTTGTCCAGAAGAACTTCCCTCGAGGGTGGAAACGTTCCACACCAGCACCGTCCAGTACGGGTGCCCCCAGCTGCCGTGGCCACTGGGCACGTGAAACAGGGCCAGCGCCATGAAGAACAGGGAGCGTTTTCAATTCACTCCCTTTTAATTCGTGTAACGGTAAAGAGCCACCACGCTCTTGCCCTGGGCAGCAGAACTCCAGGCCTCTTGGAGCCACTCCTGGGTGTGCACCTGGCCGGGGACACCTGCCTGGGACCAGGACATTGAGGACTGCCTGGGGGGCCCGCAGCTCAGACCCCCCCCAGAGAGACTGAGGTGGGGCGCCAGGGGGACCAGAGGGGTCGGGGGTCCCAGGAACCCCAGGGAGGCACAGCCGCCGAGTCTGCTGACCCCAGGTGGTGGCAGGCGGCCTTGCTGGGTGCTGGGGCCGTGTCGGAGGGAGTCCCACATCAGGGCCAGTGGAGGAGGTGCCCCCGTCCCAGGAGGACACCTCGCCTTGACCCCACGGCTGGCCGGCTGGTGGCCAGAAGAAGGCTGGCCACAAGCCACCCCTTCAGCGAGTCCAGGCGTCCAACTTCTCCAGCTTCCACGTCCCTGTTCCCAGACGGAGAGCCAAGGGCACAGCGCAGCAGCCAGGAGCCGGACACCACACCTGGCCCGCAGCTGGGGGCACCAGTTTGTGGCTTGTCCAGTGGGCACGGCCCGCGGGGTGCAGGCGGCGGGAGGGCCCTCGAGGCGCCGGGTTGGCGCACCCCCACCTGGCACGGGCTTGGGATCCGCTCCACGCAACCCCCATGTGTCCTGTGTCCATCCCGTGTGCATGACCATCCGTGTCGCGTGTCCTTGCGGCCGGGTGTGGCTGTGCCCGTGAGGGAGCACGTGAGGTGGAGGAAAGTGCTGGAAACCATGCCCTGGCTCGCTCGTGCGCACACACGGGCCCTGGAGCAGTGGGGACCGCGGCCTTTCATGTCTCACCCACGGCCCCTCTCCGGGCTTCAGCTGTGGGAACGTGCTGCTACCAGCACGTTAACCTTGGCAGGGCCGCCCGTTCCCGCCCCCAGGCCGCCGCTGACCGGGCACTGACAGGCACAAGGGCTGAAGGTGCCGGGTACCCCTGCCCGCCCCCCATGACGGGCGCGGGGCGGGCAGTGTGTTCCCGGAAGCGGATGGCAGAGCGCGAGGTCTCTCCTGACCTCATTAGAGTAATTAATGTGCCTTTTGAAGCCCGAGGAAGCGCTCGGAGCTGTGGGAGAGGGACACGGATCACGGTGGGGGCGGGGGGGGTGGGTGCCGCGCGCCTGTTGAGAGCGGGTCCCAGCGGGCCAGACTCAGAGAGAGACAGAGAGACAGATGGAGAGAGACCGAAATGGAGAGAAAGAGGAAGCGTGGATAGAGAGAAACACAAAAGGGGGAACGGGGGTGGGGGGGGCGTTCAGAGTCAGACAGACACACAGTCAAAGACATGCAGAGAGACCCCCCTGGGAGACACATTGGGAGACAACAGCCAGAGCCCGAAGGGCATGCACGTGACATCTCTGGACCTCCCAAAGACTCTGGTCTCATTTCCTCAACTTCCCTGCAGGACCTGCTGGCCCCTCAGTGCAGGACCCTCCCAAAAATAGGAGAGGGAGGGCAGTCAGGGAGAGCTTCCTGGAGGTGGCAGCTGGGCATCAGAGGGGTAAAGGGCACTGTGAGCAGACTTGGGGTGGAGAAGGCAATAGAGACACTCAAGAAAGCAGACCGGGGACCAGCTCAGAGGACCCTGAGTGGAGAAGAGAGTGACTGGCTGAGGGTGACGGAGCCGGCTCCTCGGCACCCTGGTGGCGGGCAGGGACTCAGGCTCAGGCCCAGAAGGCAGGGTCAGCGGGGCTGATAGGTGGACAGGCCCCAGGAACCGATGGGTCCCAAACGGGCAGCAGGTGGGTCCATCCCTCGGTGGACACACGGACAACATGGGGCTCAGAGATGTGAGAAATGGGACCCCCAAATGGAAATATTTCTTCACCTGACCGTTAAGCTTGTGGGGAGAGGCTCAACCACACCTGGGCCCAGCGGCCAGTGGGACACGGCTGCCACCTGGTGGCAGCTCTTCCTAACAACATGGTGGTCGTGTCTCTGGCCAGTGGCCACGGAGCCCTGACTACCGGCAACCACAGGCCACACCCTTGCCTCCAACCATACAGATGATTGGGGTGACAAGCCAGGACCAGACTCTGCTTAGAAACAGCTTGCAGAGAAAACAAGGACCTCAGAGAAACCCACTGAGACCCTCGAAGGCAATGGGGGGGTTCAGGCGCCCCAGATGGGGTTGGGGTGCCCAAAATGGGAGACAAGGTGCCCGGGATGGGGGTTCAGGTGCCCAGAATTGGGATCAGGTGCCCGGGATGCGGTTCACATGCCTGGGATGGGGGTTCAGGTGCCCGTGATGGGGGTCAGGAGCCCGGGATGGGGGCCCAGGTACCCGAGATGGGGTTCAGGTCCCCGGGATGGAGATCAGGTGCCCAGGATGGGGATCCAGGTGCCCGGGATGGGGGTCAGGTCACTGACGATTCCACAGGAGGCTGATAGGGGAGGAACATGGGGGCACAGGGGCCCTCAGGCTGCAGGAAGCTCCACCTGCCTACATTACAGCCCCACAGCTCCCTGGGAAATGCCCCCCAAAATGCTGGTGATAGGAGGGGAGGAGATGGGGATGCTGCAGAACCTGACCCTTGAGAGACCCCAAGCTGAAGACAGCAAGGAGAAAGCAGCCCGTGAGCAGGGACTTTGATGGACGGATGAGAGTTCTCTCCAGGCCCCAGTGCAGTGCCTGTCGGGGCCTTCGTCCAGGCAAGTGGGAGCAGGCGTCCCCGATCTCTCCACCTGCCCGTGGGATTCCTCACTGGACCCTCCAAACAGTGGGGGCGAGGCCCAAGCAGCCAGCTTGGTCACGGAGGGGAGAAGGGAGGCGCAGATGGAACCTGGCTCTGCCGCCCACGCCCGTCGTGAGCCAGGATGCCAGGCCTGGCCTGCTGTTGACATGGGCACCAAGACAGAGCCACCACTCCTTTATTGTCCCCAGCCCAGGGGGAAGGTGCTCCCAGACAGGCCTTCAGCCCCCCTGCCCCCCAGGCCTCGGCTCAGGCCAGCCACGTCCCCACAGCAAAGAGCAAGCAGCACAAGCCACAGTCCGGCCAGGCGGCCTGAGTCCTGGGAGGGGCTGCCAGAGCCTCTCTGGCTTCTACCGGCCATCTCGGGTGGTCCTGTGCAGGCGGGGGCTGAAGCGTCTTCAGGGAGGCTGGGCAGGTCCCACACGAGCTGTCGCGGTGCAGCCAGGCCAACAAAAGAATCAGCGACTGCGCCAGGCACTGGGGGTGACCCCGCGTCTTGTCCTTCCCCCAGGGCCGCTGGAAACGCCACCTGTGTGACCCAAGCATCTGGAAGGTGAGGGGCAGGGGTGAGCTGGGGAATGAGGGCCCGCTCCCCTCCCAACCCATGTGCCAGGCACTCACCCTCCACAGCCCCGACCCCAGGCCCACCCCAGCCCACTCGGACAAAGGGGCTGCCAGATCGCACCAACACCCCCACAGGTGGTGTCAGAACCACCTGCCGGTCCCGTGGCCTCCTGCCTGCGCCCCCAACACACTGGACAGGCTACTGCTCCCTGCTCCCCCTTCGCCGGCTGGGTGTCGGGTGGCCCTCTGCCGCAGGTGCACTTCCCGGGGCTGGGGCCACGGACAGCTGTGCCTGACCCACCCCCTTGGCAGCAGCCAGACTCTTCCTCCACCTCTAACGTTGATCTCGCCCTTCAAGGTCAGACCCAAGGTAAGCATCCACCGACTCAGGCGCTGCGACCCTCGCCCATCTTAAAGAAACGGGAAACTGAGGCTGACAGGGAACACCATGCCCAAGGACACACAACTTGCCACTGCAAAGCCAGTGCTTCAGACCGAGCCACACTTGTACTGTGATGACCTCGATGATCTCACGGGGTGGGGGGTCTTCCCTCTCTCCAGCCCAGCCCCAGCCCCTCAGCCCAACCCCCCAGACCCCGGAGGTCGGGGCAAGGCCGTGCTACCATGTCAGATTCCTGCTTTCAAACACCGTCTCCTCGTCGCTGTCCAGCGAGGCCATCTCCGCGGACTCCTCGGTGTTGGCCAGCAGGCCATACCTCCGCCGCTGCGGCTTCTTCAACCTGGAAGCAGGCCTGGGCGCTGACAGCCGTGTCCGGCCTAGGGGGCCGCTGACACCCGCTCCTGCTTCCCCCTTCCCCAGGGAGTGCCGGCACTCGGCCTCCCCTGCTCCACCCCACAGCTCCGTTGGTTGCTCTCCCGTCAATAACTAGAGACAGACGCGCCGGGCCGAGGCCTCCGGGCCAGGGCTGAGTGAGTCTAAGAGACGCGAGGAGGACTTGCCGGACATCGAGCGGAGAGCTGTCGCCCAGAAGCTCGTCCTGCCCCGCCCTGCCCCCCACCCCCGGGAAAGGAGGGGATCCTTCGGCGGCGGGCGCAGCAGCATCCTCGGAGACAGAAATGCACTGGGCACCCCCAGGAGCGCCAACGGGGACAAAAAGACCCCTTTAGAGCGTCTACACGTGGTCAGCTGTGTGACAAAGATGTCACACTTCCGGGTGTCAGCCTCGGAGAGGAGGCCAAGCGCCGAGGTCAGGGGCCTGCGGAGGGCGCCACGGGGCCTGAGCGGGCAGAGCATGTAGTCCACGGAAAGAGAGTCCCCAACCTCGGGGCAGGAGGGCAGAACCCAGAGCCCGACCTCGGCCAACGCTGGGGCGCGCTCCGGCCGGGCTCCGCTCCCGCCCCGGGCCGCGTGCCCCGCGCTCACCATCGCCGCAGAGAGGCAGTGGCAGAGCAGAGAGACAAAGCGAGGGGCCACGGGGTCCCGACGCAACCCAACCTCCTGCCCTCTGGTCGACGGCGCCTGCAAACCCGGCCGCCGCGCCTCCTACCTTATGTATAGGCCCGGAGCATCACGTGACCGCATGGTCCCGCCCACCCCGCTCACGTGACAGCGACGCCCGCTCCGGGGGCGGGGCTCTCGCGCCCCAGCACGTGAGGCGCGAGGCGCGCGTTGATTGGCCGCGCCAGGGTGGCGGCGGCGGGCGCCGGACGCACCTGAACGCCCGGATGAGGAAGTAGAGCGCGACCAGGCCGCTGAGGCCCGTGAGCACGTAGAAGGAGCGCAGCAGCGGCGAGCCCGGCGCGGCCGGCGAGCGCGGGTGCGTGCCGTTGTGCGGCGCGCCCGGCTGGCTCCCGTTCGTCACGGCGGGCGACGGCAAGAGCGTGGCGTACGCGGGGTGCGACGACCTGGGCGTGGTCCCCTGGGCCCCGCACAGCAACGCCGGCAGCAGAATCGCCGGCAGCAACAGCAGCAGCAGCGGCGGCGGCAGCACGCGCGGCCCCATGGCCCGCCGGAAGCGGAGGCTGCCCCGCCCTCGCCGCGCTGTCACTCACCGGCGCCAGCCAATGGCCCGCGGGGGCGGGGCCCGACTCCGGAAACGCCCGCCCCCGGCCGCTCCCGGGGCGTCTCCCCGCGCCCCGGCCCCGCGGGCCCGCCGCGCCAGGCCTCAGTTGCCCTGGGCCAGACCGGGTCACGGCAGCTGGGCGCGCCACAGGGTCGCCGCCCAAGGACCCGCACGGACGAGGCCACGCCACGCAGGACGGCTGGGGCCGAGCCTGGGCTCCCTCCGGTCCGGGCCCCGACTCGCTGTTCTCGGCCGGTGGGCCCTCCCGCAGCCCGTGCAGCCCGGGGGCCGGTGGGCCAGCAGGGCGGCCGTGCCGTGGCCCGCGCCGTCCACGAGGCCACGGCATCGGCGCCCGCAGAGCCAGGACCAGCAGACCGGACCGCCGGCAGACGCGGGGCCCTCGCCGTCCTGACCGCGCTGACCACACCGACAGGGCCCTGCGCCCGCTGCGCCGCCCCCACCCCGGGGGAGTTGAGGGGACCCGCTCGGCCCCAAGACAGCTGCACCCCAAGACCAGCGAGGAGGCCACCAGCCCGCCCGGGAAGCAGGCTCGGCCCCGCAACACCGATGAGGCTGCCCGGTCACTCCGCCGAGACGGCCAGGGCCCGGCAGGGACGAGTGCCCCTCACACCGCAGGAGACCTGCCCGAGGGGGCGAGGACGTGACCAGCGGGTCTTTCTGGTTTGGGTCCAGCTCACACCCTGAGCAAAGGCCGACAACGCCTTCTCTCCTGGACGCCGCCACCTCCCCGCCGCACCCACAGCAGACTCAGATTCCGGGTGGACACACCAGCCCTTTATTGCAGTCCGACTCCCACGTCCCGTCGCCGCTGTGGACAGGGGCTGGCCCCCGTGCAGGCCGGCACACACCGTTCTCCTGGGGCGACTCAAGCCCCGAGCCCCAGCCTCGCCAGGAAGCACCTGCTGGAAAGACGAGGGGTGAGCGCCGGCTGCAGCGGCGGGAGAGAGCCCACCAGGAGGGCCGCGTGTCGCCCCCAGGAACGGCACTTACAGGTGGCAGGCTTCCAGGACAGGTGGCTGCGCCTCCGACTCTTGCCCCCAGGTGAAGTCCCTCTTGGGACAGTGACCCCAGATCACCGCCGCTCTCGGTGGGGGCCACCGTTCTGAACCGCACTGGCCTCCCTTCAACCTGCCAAAGCAAAGGGGCATCACCCCCGCCGTCCCGGCCGCGCTCGCCGCTCCCCGTCCCGCCTCCCCCGAAACCCTGCGCAGCTCCTAGGAGGGTCTCAAGCTGGTCCTCAGGCCATCCCGGCAGCAGCCCGTCACGGGCGTGCCCACGGCGGCCTGCGCTCGCAGGGGAGCCGGGCCCTGCCCGTCGCGTGGGCTGGGGGCAAAAACGCAGGCGGCAGCAGAGACCAGGGACCTAGAGCGAGGGGGTGACTCGGGCAGCCCTCAGAAGCCCGTCGGCCGAGCAACAAAAACCCAAAAGGCAGGGCGTTCGGCGGGCTCCAATCCTGCTTACGGGCTGAACCCACTTGCAGGCGCGACTGCCCGGCCGCTGGCCTGGCCGCAGGCGGGAAAGGCAGACGGCCAGGATCGGACATTAGTGCTAACTTGATTTACAGAAAAGAGAAAACGAAAAACGGAAAAGCAAAAACCAGTCAGGGAGCATCCCCGGCACGTGACCGCACTGCCACTCGAGCTCCCGGCCCAGAGGGGACGCGGGCGGGCGCGGAGGGCGTTACCTCGAGGTCCAGGCTATCTCCGCATACGAGCTAGCCCAGGGAGCCGCTTGCGTCTCGGAGGTCTGCTGGGCGCACAGCACTTCCGTCCTCCGAGGGCAGCTTCTTAGGCTAGCGGAGAGCGCTCAGGACGTGGGGAGCGACAGCAGACCAGCCCGCCAGCCGGTCAGTCTGCGGCCGCCCCGGGACGCCGCGCCACCTGCCCTCCGGCCTGCCGCTACACTGAGGCGGTGGGGTCGGCGTCAGTGCCCTGCGTCTGCCGCCTCTGAGCTCGCGGCCCGCCCCGTCGGCCCTCCGGCTGCCGCCGCCAGAGGCCTCCCGGGCTGCCCTGCGGTCCGAGCCGGCCGCTCCCGTCACCCACCTGCTCACCCGACCGGACGGTGGCCGTCGGCTGTCGGAGCGCCCGGCCAGCGCCGCTTCTCCCTGCCTGCCTGCCTAGCTCCCTGCTCGGGCGGGCTGCGCGGCCCGCGGCCCGCGGTGCGATGAGGGAAGGGGTCAGAGCGCGGTTCGTTTCAGACGGTCTTTTAATCGGCTTCGTGAAGCCAAAGAAACTGCGTACAAGGATTCCTCAACCACTTCAATACAACAGCGACGGATGCGCACACGTCTTCCGGTAAAAAAGGACGATATAAATAAACATGCCCAGGGCCTCGCCAGGGACGGCCGCCGGCCGCGGGGGTGCGGGCCGGGCCTGGGCAGCCGGGCGCTCGGGGCGCCCCGGGCCGGTCCTACCGCGCTCCCCTCGGACACGGACACGGAGGTGGAAAAGCCTCCGCTCCTCAGCTCCCGACCAGAGCGGATTCCGAGTCCGTTCGATCTCAAGGGGAAGCAAAGCGGGGCTCCCTGTTCACGGGCCGACCCCACTGAAAAGAGAAACCAAGAAGGCAACACAACCAAAAAACCCACACGACCCCCAGCCATCTTCCAGAAGCTCCTGGCTCACGGAAGAAGAAAAAAGCAAACCCTGAAGTGCTTTTCAAAACGTTCTTAAAAACCTCAAAAACGGACAGCACTTCCTTAAAGAGAAAAGTCTAGTGACGAAGCCGTCCGGGGGTCAGGAGCGGTCAGGCTGCGTCTGACAAGATGGGACGGAGAACTACAAAAGTGGGGTCGGGGAGTGTGGTCACTACACGTCAACGGCTCAGCGAAGCTCCCACAATCGTTAGGGACACAGCGAGCGGCACGATCTCGAGCAGCAGGCCTTACTCGCTGTGTGTAGCTGAGGACAGAAGCAGGCACAGTGTCAACGCGCCGAGCGCGCGGCGGGCAGCGCTCCCCGCCCGGGGCCTGGAGGGTCGGGCCGCCGCCTCGGGAGCCACCTCCCCCCGCGCCCAGCGGCCGGCCGGGCGTGCGCTGCGGCCGCCTGCTCGAGGGTGAGCGCCCTGTGCTGCTCGGGCCGCCGCGTCCTGCCTCTCGTCGTGGGGCAGAAACAGCCGCTGGGACCGACACCCGAGAGGCAGCCCCGGCCCGCAGGGGCGAGGGCACCGACGAGGTCTGAGCGTCCCTCGCAGAGGCCGCCTGGCCCGACGGCCGGGCCTCGGGGCGCCACTTACCGTAGCTGTCGTAGCTGTCTCTGTAGGACCCGCCCGAGCTCCGGTCACCGTAGCCGCCGCCCTGACTCCGGCTGTGGGGGACACGTGGCGCTGGAGGGCACCTGGGACTCACCCCCCGGCCCCCCGCCGGCCCGCACCCTCACCTGCCGTAGTAGTCCCGGGAGCCCCCGTAGCCCCCGCTCCTCGACTCGAAGCGGCTCCCGCCGTAGCCTCGGTCCCCGCCGCCTAGACAAGGACACGATGGGCAATGGCCAGCTCCCGCCAGCCCCGCCCCGCTGCGTCCCGAGGGCCACGGGCCCCGAGCCCCGCACTCACCTCTCGAGAACCCGCGGCCCCGGCCTCGGCCCCCGCGGAAGAAGCCGCGGCCCCCGGCAGAGCCGCCGCGGTAGCCCCGGGAGCGGCTGTCCGAAGACTTGCCCGCCTGGTCCACGCGGATCTGCCGCCCGTCCACGGACTGGAGACCGGAGAGCGGCCGGGTCAGCCTCTGCGCCCCGCGCGCTGGACCCGGCCCCCTGCGCCCCCCCCTCACCTTCCCGTTCATGGCCATCATGGCGTCCTTGGCGTCGTCGATGTTCTCAAAGGTGACAAAGCCAAAACCCCGCGATCGCTGGGTCTCCCTGTCCTTGACGACCACCACTGCAGGGAACAGCGCCGGGCGTCAGCCACTTGCCTGCCCCGCAGCCCCGCAGCCCCGCAGCCCGCAGCCCGCAACCCCCCAGCCCGCAGCCCCCCAGCCCCCGCAACCCCACAGGCCCGCAGCCCGCAGCCCCCTAGCCCGCGGCGGCCTCACCTTCCGAGATCTGCCCGTACTTGGAGAAAACCTGCTCCAGCGACTGCTCGTTGGTGTCGAAGCTCAGCCCCCCGACGAACAGCTTGCCCTCGTCCGACGCCATGACGGCCTGCGGGCGCGGGGACCCCTGAGACCCTACCCGCGGGCGCGCCCTCCCCGCAGGCTCCCTCCCTCCACGCCAGCCTCCCCCACTCGAGGCGAGGACCCCAAGAACGGCCTTTTTCCCTGGATCGCGCCGAATCCCCAACCCGGGAGCCGGCTCCAACCAGCCCGGAACCGGCGTGTCACTCGGGGCCCCGCCCCCCGAGACGAGGGCCACACCCCGCGCCGCCCCCAAACCTCGGCTAAGGGAGGAGGTGCAGGGCTGGACACCCAAGGAGACACCGGCCACCACGGTCCCCGTGCCGAGGGGCGCGCTCACAGCCTGACCATTGGGAAGCGGGGCGCGTGGGGGGGGGGGCAGTGCTTGGTCCACTGGGGCGGGGGTGGGACTGGGGTGCTGACTTGGAGAACCTTCCGTGGGCGGGGAAACCCTCCGCCCAACGGATCCGGGGACACAGATCAGATGGGGTGCCGGTGCCGCGACCCTGATCAGATCCGCCGGGACGTGGGGCGGCGATCCCCTCGGCCAGCTACCGCGGGACAATGGGGACACGGGGAGCGGGGGCACCGGGGAGTGGGGACACCGGCAGCGGGGGCACGGGGAACAGGGCCCCGCCCCGGGCCCGCCCCCGCCGCGCGCATGCGCCCCGCGCGCGCCCTGCGCCACTGCATCCGGGCCCTCGGCGCTCCCGCCATTTCGCTGGGCGCAGCCTCGCGATCGCGGCCGCCATTTTGCGGCGGCGCCCCGCTCACGAGTGGGCCCGGTCCGGGCGGGGGACGCCCTCCGGCCGCGGCTCGGCCTGGTCTCCCGCTGCCCCACGCCGCCGGCGGGGCGGACTCCACCCGGGGCCCGCCCCGGCACCGCCCCCGCCCAGGGGCGTGCCGCCGCCGCCGCCGCCCCGCCTCGTTCGGCCGGCCGCAGGCCGCCCGCCGCCCCGGGCCCGCGGACCCGGCGCCGCCAGGGCCCTCACCACCGAGCCGGGCAGGTCCCTGACGCAGGCGGGAAAACGGCACAGCGAAACGACCCGAGCCTCCTAACGCGCGAGTGAAGGGGGAGCCCGGCGCCCGGCCTTATGTACTCCGCCGCGGGGCCCCGCCCCCCTGCCCCGCCCCCGCGCCGCGTCGGCCAATCCCAGGCCCCAGGCGCCGCGGCCGCGCCTCATATTCATGATCAGGGGCGGGGCTTGTGCCAACCACGCCCCCTCCCTCGCGCCTGGGCGCCGGGCACGGGGATTGGCGGGGACGCGCACGGTCCGCAGACCCCGGCCCGTGCGCGGGGGGCGTGGCCGAGGCGCGGCGGGGCTGACCCACTTCCGCGTGCCCGCCCCCTGGCCTGCGGCGGGGAACAAAGGGGCCGACGGCCGCGGTTGCCAGGGGCCTGGACCTCGTGGGGGCCCCGGGTGTCGCTGGACTCCCGACCTTTGCTGTGCTCCAAGCGATTGCCGGCATAACGACCTCACGCAGCTCCCCACCCACCCGACCCCAGCTGTCAGACGCCCCAAATTCATCTGAACCTTGACCTCAGTCATGATAGACCTGCCAACATACACGACACTCCAGAGCTGCCAGGACCCCAACGCTCCTGAGTACACTACCTCACGCGATCGAACGACCACACCGCCCACCCAAACCCCAACAGTGAGACGCCCTCACGTACGTGGACCCCCATATTGGCCACGATCTCAATTCTTCCCACTTCCCAACTTTGGGGCACCCCAACTTCACCCAAACCCGAACCCACACCCACACCTAACTCCCACCCCAACTCTGACTGCACCCCGCCTGGTGCGGCGCCCACACCCCAACACTCACCCCGCCAGACACTTTTGGGCATCCTGCTCTAGACCACAGACTGACCCCCTACCTGGGCTCCCCAACTCACCGCTTGGCCCAGCCCTCTAGTCCCCACTGCACACCCATGTTCAGTGCGGCCTTCGGGCTCCCCGCCCCTAAGCGCTCCAGCCCCCTCCAGTACCTAGTTCTGCACCCCCAGAACCCACTCACTCCCCAGGGGGCCCGGGCCCGCTCTGCTCCTCCCCTGTATCCTTTTCCTGTCTAGGGGATCCCAAGACCTCTGCTACCGGGAGAACCTTTGCAGAGATCCTCATCCCCACGGCTGCTCCTGGGAGACCCCCAAGGCCACCTTATGGGAGTCCCTCTTGTGGCCACCACTTGCCCCCTGCCCAGCCCATGCTGCTTCCCCTGGCTTGGAAGAAGCTGCTGGGGACGCTTGCCTGCTCAGAACAGAGGCCCAAGCTATAGCCCTGCCCCAGAAAGTCTTCAAAAAACAGACCCTCTGCAGAAGAAGCGTGGCGTTTGAGAACAGACCCCTCTCCAACCCCCCACTTTCTACCCACCCCAGAGACGTTCCAGCCCCACTACAGGCCTCGGACTCGCTCCCACCCTCAGGTGGGGCTAGGCTGATGCAGCAGAGGATGTGGGGAGGGACAAGGTCGCTAGGACCCCTCCTCGGCTCAGGGACCCCTTCCCCCAGGCAGCGCTCATGACTCATGACTGCCTCCTCTGCACCTCGCCCCCCCACGCCGCGGCCCCCCCATGCAGCTCCCCGTCAGCAGCAGCCTGCTGCTGCGTCAGCCACTCACGCAGGGTGGTTATTAAAAGGAGCAGAGAGAGACGTCGGCGCTCAGCTCCCCCTCCCGCCGGCCGCCCATGGGGGCGCCTGGGGCCCGGCGTGCCCAGCCCAGCAGCAATGCCCGCGCGCCCTCTCTGATCTGCTCTCCCAGCCAAGTCAGGTCGCCGGCTCCTTGTCCCAGCCCAGGCCAGGGGGCCCTACAGCCGTGCCGGCCCCGATCCGATCCCTGTCTGGCCCCCGCCCCGCCCCCGCTGTTTTGTGGTTCTGAGTCTGCCTTCTCCTGGTTTTGTGAAGTGCCCTGGTTCGTTCATTCATTCATTCATTCATCCCGCCAGCACACATTCATTAAGCGTTTACTACGAGAGCCAGTTGCTGGGTACCAGGCTCCGCGTTGCAACCACGACTGTCCTGGGTTCCCATCACGGAGCGGGCCCCATACCTGTGCCTACCTGTCGCCAGGTGCGCTTGCACCGGCATTGCGTGGGAACTGTGTGCTTGCGTCTCAGGTGTGTCACTCGTCCCCGTACCTGTGTTTCCGCGGGTCCCTGTGACTCAGTGTGTAACCAGGGCCGTGCGTCCCCGTGGGGCGCTCTCAGGGGGCTGGGACCACCTTCGTCCCGGCCGCGGCCGCTGCGCCGCGCTCTCCCCGCCGACACGAGGGGGCGCTGCGACCTCGCTGTCACCGTGGCCGGGGGCTCCAGATCCCGCCCCGCGGTGCAGCAGCGGGCCGCGGGCCCCCGCATGCGGAGGGGTCCCTGGCCCGCCCCCGCGCCTCTGCTGCAGCGCCGCGGAGGTGGCGGGGGAGGTGGGGGCTCAAAATAGCTGCGGGCGGGGGCGAGGCTGCTATTTGCGGACGGGACGCGGTGCTCGCTGCCTGCCCGGCGGGGGCCGAGATTAGGCCGGCAGGTCCCGCGTGGGCGCATTCACAAGTCGCCGCTCCCCAGGCAGCCGCCAGGGCGGAGGGGGCGCCCGCCTCCTGGACCCCCACCCCAGCAGCCCATCCCCACCCCGCGCCGGGCGCCCCGCCCCACCGCGCCGGCGTCGCCATGGAGACGGGGGCGGGGCCGCCTCGCTCCCGCACCGCCCCCTCCGCCCTCCCCGCGGGGCCGGGCCCGCCGGACGCCGGGTCCTCCCCCGACCCCGGCTAATGACCGGGCGGGAGGCGGTAATGAGCGTCTGGGCCCGGGCCGGGCGTGGCCGGGATGAAAGGCGCGTGTGTAGGGGGGGACCCCGGGGCCGCGTAATTATCGCCCCCTCCCGGCCGGCCAGGCGGGGGCCGGGACGGTGCACCTGGCGGCCGCCCGGCGGGGGCGCGGAAGTGGGACCGCCCTGCAGAGACTCCAGCCGGCTCGCCTCGCCCAGATCCGCGGGGCCCGGAGCCAGGGTGGGGGAAGCGGAGACCAGATATGTGTGCGCGTTGCCAGGTGTGGTGCACATGTGTGCCCCTGGGCAGGGGACTCGTGGGTACAGAGACGGAGAAACAAGGATTCCAGGGGACACGTGCTTGTGTGGACACGAAAATGAGGCTGTGTGCATGTGTGCACGGGTGTGCATGGAACTCACACGGATGTGTGTGTGCACGTGCCTGTGCACACATGGAGACGTGTTTGCATGGCGCTCCACGTGCAGGAGCACGGGAGGTTGTGCGCGGACCCCAGAGTGTGTGCATCATTGGGACGAGAATGTGGGATCAGCCGGGGACAGGGCTGGGTGTGCGTGACTCCGGTGGGCCGGGACATACAGAGAATATGTGCTCATGGCTGGCGGCGTGACTCATGTCCCTGGGGTGGGCACGCGCGCTGTGTGTCAGCAGCGGCCAGGGCCTCCGGGAGCTACAGGAGGCCGGAAGCCAGGAGGAGGAAGAGTTAAGCTACCTCCCCCAGTTCCCACCTGCACCTGGAGGTCCCTAGGAGGCCCCAGGTGGCTGCCGACTGTGAACACAGGAGATTCAGCTGCCTGCCCACCGAGAAGCCAGGCGAGGCTGCACCCTGGCCTGTTCCCCTCCTGTTCCTAAGAGGAGGTCTCCACAGGGGAGGAGGACGTGCAGATGCAGGGCGGGGGGCACCTGGCGGGGCTCCCGGTGACTCACAGCCCAGGAAGGCGGAGGCTGCCACTCTTTGCTCCTGCCCAGGCCCCCACCCCAGGAGCAGCAAGGCCAGGTCCTGAACGGGCTGTGCTGGTGACTACAGTGCCCGCCAACTGCACACACACTCGACTGGCCGTAGACTGGGACACATGTCGTGTCCTCGAGGCCCACCTGTGGCTGGGCAGAAGGCCTGTGGGAGCCTCATGCCTGCCCCTCGGGCCACACATGTTTGTGTCTTTCCTACTCCTGATGCTCCTGAGACCTGGATGGTGACCCCTTCGACTGGGGGAAACTGAGGCACAGGCGAGCACACATCAAGAACATGCATTCACGCATACAACACCTATCAGGTGTCTGTGAAATGCCAGAGCTTTTGCACACTCAGAGGCCCCCCATGCTCAGCTCATGAAAACCCCAAGGCTTGCCCTGGAGGGAGCTGGGGGCATGCAACCCACTGGGTGTCTGAACCCGGGGAAGGGCTGAGGCCACAGCCCCCACCTCCAGGGGCAGGAGGAGCTGACCCCACCCGTGCCCTGGCCACTTGCTTGACCTTGGCCCCACATGCAGAATGTCACACACACACAGGCTCTCTGCAGGCACAGGGACAAGGACAAGGACCCCCGCCTGGCACCTGGGGCATCTCCAGGCAACAAAGGAGTGGCACAAATGGAGTGAGCGCCCCCTCCCCGGGGAAGCTGCTGGGGGCTCAGGGAAGACACCTACGTCTGCAGTGGGTCCGTGGGCACATCGGGGCCCCCACCCCCACGCAGGCAACACACCCCTGAGGGTCGGCCATGGCCCAGGTGCCCAGCTGTGCAGGTAGGCGGCGCCCAGGCCTTCCCTGGGCCTCAGGTGCCTCAGCCGAGAAGCGGGGGCGGCAGCAGCACTTCCTGGGGTCAGTGTGGGTGAGGAACCAGCAGCCGGTGACAAGCAGAACCTCCCGGTGCTTCTTTTTTCCCTTTCTTGGTGTCGCGGGACAAACAGAGAGTTGTCTGTGAGCCTGAAGAAGTCCCTTTTTCCCATTCCCAGCAGCGATGGGGCGCGTGAGGGGCGCGCCGGCCCCTGCACCTGTCCCGCCGCCGGGGGAGGGCGCCGCCTCGGGTGGCACGGCGCCTCCGAGGATGTGAGCGCCAGCTGCCTGGTGTGACTTTCAATTTTGTGGTTTTCTTAAGGGAGGTCTTGGCCCAGGGTGAGAACACGGTGCCGTTCGTTTTGAGGGTCACAGAGTCGATTGAGGTCGTGATGGTAGCAAAGCGTGGGTTGGGGCCGCTCTGTGGGGGAGGCAGGGGTTGTGTATGGGGGTCGCCGCGTTGCAGAGCCGGGAGCCCGGCATTCAGGCGGGGTCCAGGATCGACCCGCTGACTGTCAGGGGCGGCTGTAGGGGGCCCGTGTGGGAGTCGCGTTGTGCTGATTCTCCTGGCCTCTGGGAAGCGTCAGGGG